GTCTAATTTAACCAGTAGCTTGCGTAGGGGTTATGGAACCTTCGAAATTAATTTGCTTACTTTTTGGCGAACAAATATGGTTTTACAAATCTGCGCGCAATCAAACACTCGTGGGTCAAGGCTTTAGGCTCTTGGGTCATCCTCAGGCATACACAAAAATATCAACCCAAACGCACTCAACATATATGGGAAACTGACCCTAGATGGTGTCACTACTTAACAACTTTTTAAGAAAAGAAAGTTTAAGTAAAGAAATCTTTTAGACTAAAAATGATATATAAATGGACTTTAATGTACATTGTTCATCTAGTTATTTTAAAAAAATTCGTGATAACTTGTGTACAAATAACATAAAATATAAGTGTAGCACGCACACATTTACACATAAACACGTTTTGTAGCTGGGGAACAAATGAAAGAAGGGTACATATAGTACGTATTATACATCTGCGCTTTTATAAAAAAAATACAGGATGATACAAGGTCTCTCTCTTATCTGTAAAGTCTGTTCGTAGATACAAGAAAGTGACTAACTGATACGAATTAAGGAAAGACCCGGGCAAGCGGTAAGAGTGAAATATGGCCGAACAGGACCGTACTTTGCATAGATTATTTTTATTACCTACTTAAATTACTTAAAATTGTTCACATAATATATCAGTATCACTATCGCTACCATCGCCTGTTATTTGCAATATGAATATACGATTGTTCTGCTTTTTCTATATGTTTAACAGAATTTGCCCAACTTTGTGGAGGGATGTTAAAAACTTCGGTTTCTATAAGTTTGAGGACATTGGAGTTAACACGGGGAAAAACATTGTTACGACGAATGGAAGATTTCAGTTGGTGCCAAACATGTTCAATGGGATTAATTATACAGTGGTAAGGTGGAAGCCTTAAAACTGTATGCCCTAGATTTTTTGCATAATTACTACAGACGCATTCCTTTTGTAGGTTCAAGCTGTGTAGAACAGAACCTCAATTAATTGCTTTTTGGTATAATTTTCGTAAAAATAAATGTCGTTATTATACATGTAGTTTTGGATTGTTGCTTTTGTGTCACATGAGGAAGAGGTTTTAGTCAACTGTCTACTGTGATAACTTGCATTGTCCATTACAATGACGCTATTAGGAGGAATGTTTGGAACTAGTTTGTTTTTAAACCAACTTTCAAATAAATCAGCGGAGGTGTCTTCGTGGTAATCCAGAGAAGAATCTTTAATATTTTTCACAGACAAAGAAATCCAACCATCTTTAGAGCCTGCATGCAAAATAGTTATTCTTTTACCTCTTTTTGATGGTGCGTTTGTTTTACACTTATCAGTTGACTCAATCCAACCCTTTTCCATTGTATCATAAGTGTCAAACCAGGTTTCATCCAAGTAAATAATTGGCTTTTGTTGTTCTCTGTAAATCCTAATTTTTTCTAGATATTCCAGTCACCATTTCCGAATTCTAAAAGATTCCATTAAAACTTGTATTTTGTCAATTTTTTTAATTCTAAAACCCATGTGTTGAATACACTTCCATTAAGTAGTTCTGCCACATTTAACACCGGTTTCATCTTTTTCAAGCCTCCTAATTAAGATATCTAATGTAGGCAGGCTTTGTTCCTCGTATAACTGGTAAATTTAAGCCGTATTATATCTTGATCACTTTCATCTACACTCGAGAAAATGTCAGCATCGCTTCTTTTTTTCCTCGCTGAAATGGGATTACTCACAATTTTCCATACAGTTGATGTTGGAATTTTCGTCAATGTGGTCGTTTCTTCTAAGGATGCTTGCTTGCTGGCACCACGTTCAATGAGAGTCAAATAAACATTGTTTATAACTTCCTTATACTCAATAGCATAGTGTTTTCTGCATTTGGGCGAGAGCATCTCCTGAGATAGACTCGCACATATTTTGCATAATAAACTTAAACTAAGTAGTATACCAAACCAAGAGTCGGTAGGTATAAAATTATTTTCTATTACGGACCACAATTTTACCTGAATTTAAATTCCGAAACTTTAGGTAATAATCTTGTTGCATTGTATGTTATTGACCACCCTTGGATAATCTCATTCAAAAGCAATTGGTCACTTTCTTATATCTATGAACAGACCATACATCACCCACACTGGTCATCCGGTTACCCAAAAACGTATTTACATGGGAAAGCGTTTCTCATACATTTTGGGCAGCGTTTGAATTCTTAGTTTTTGACAGTTAACAAAGTTATATGAGCTGGTTAACAAATGCGATGGGTAAGGTGCATAAACTTCTACATAAACCACTACAGCGAAACAGATTATTAACCGCGTGTCTCTGTTTTCACCATCTGCCCTCAAATGAAAGTTTAATAATCCGACCTAGATTAGACAATATCGAAGTTTGAAGAGCGTTCGCCAGTTTTTTCCCACCCCTTTTCTTAATTGTAGTTTGAGCTCCGTCGAAAATGAACACTCGAATGGCGGCTCGGCGTGAACAAATAAAAAATCTAATTTGCCGACATCTGGCGCGGGATTCCGAACTTCGCCGCATTGTAGTTTAACAGAACGGTCGCGTTAAACCTAAATTGGGTAATGTGCGCGTTCGTGGGTTTAAGGCTTCATTAAAAAACTGCTAGGCGACGAGAAAATTTTCGTCGGTTTGACGGCGGATTGAGATGGCGTCGGCGTCATCTGGAAGCACGACTTTGTTTGCCTAGCGTTCGGGTGTCGATTTTTATTGACCCTTGAAGACCTTGGTAATATATTGGTATTACCTTCCGAGAGTGCTTATCGCGGCAATATCGTTCCTTTTTTTTGATGTTATATCGAATCCCTTCGTCCTCAAGCCGGGATTTCAATTTCAATTCAATTGAAGGTATTAGAATTTTATGGTAACGGATACAGTAACAACACAAATAGAACTAAGTAGTAAGTTTTGTTTTTATCAAATCAACTGTAGTGCAAATAGTAGTATGGGAGAGATGGTTCTGGGTATTTGTGTCACAGAAACGCTTTAGATATACTACTAAGAATTATTATATACGAGGGCATCGCCAAAATTTCCCGGCCTGAATATGAAAGAAACAAAGTACAGTAACAATTTTTTATTATTTTTCAATATAATCCCCCCTAACTTTAATACACTTATTACATCTCTTTATTAACAACTCTGTATTAATAACTCAACTTCGTCGTTAAACCACCGCCCACGTAAGTCCTTTTTCAAATAACCAACAAATAATAGTCGCTGGGGGCCATATCTCGGCTATAGGGAGGATGATCTATCTGTTGGAACCCACAATCTAAAATGGCAGCTTGTGCAACACCAGCAGTACGGACAGGTGCATTATCGTGCAAAAGACGCACGCCTCTGGTCAGTTTTCCTCGACGTTTTACACGTATGCAGTCTCGCAATTTATGTAATAATGTTGCGTAATATTTACCATTGACAGTGGTATTTGTTTGTTTAAATATCAAAAGAATTCCTTCACAATCCCAAAAGATCGTGGCCATCACCTTTTTTTGTTGACTGGCAGACTCTGAATTTTCTTGGAGGTGCTTCACCCTTACGACGCCACTCCATTCGATAGAGGGTCATAATAGAGAACAATAGTTTAATCTCCCGTCACAATAGTTCCAAAAAAGACCGCGCGCACTCGACACGGCGTTGTTTTTGAATTGCCGAAAGGGTTTTAGGAACTCATCTTGCAATAACCTTATGCATACCTAAATGATCATGCAGGATTCGACGAACACTTGTATCAGAAAGCTTAGTAATTTCTGAGATTTCCTTGACTTTTAAACGTCGATCACTCAATGCCACGTCTTCCACAATCGCAACAATATCTTCCGTTTTGACCTCCACTGGTCGACCAGTTCTTGAATCATCTTCAAGGGACTCCTGCCCCATTCGAAAACATTTTGCCCATTCATTCACTACAGAATACGAAGGAGAACTTTGGCTGTACACACCATCGAGCCTTTCTTTAACAATTTTAGGTGCTATCCTTCTTTTGTCAAAAACTTTATACTTAATTTGCGTTATTTGCGACCTTTTTTCGGACACGTCTTGTTTAAAATGCTGTCAATAAAAAACTATTTGACGCAAGACTTCATTTTTTTTGGCAGACAAAGTTTTATCGTGATACTGGAGTTGCATCTATGTCAGGTCGGGAAATTTTGGTGCTAACCTCCTACTGCGTGTTTCGCCGATTTTAAAAGAGTTTTTCTACCAATGAGTATGCATAATTTAGCAAACAAACTATCCGAGTTTCAATACGTTCAGTAGATCATGTTAAAATCAGATGTATGTTGTATAATTATAAAGGCAGACAACAAAAACGAATGTAAAGGAGAAAAACGTAAATTTCAATTTCAATAGAAAGTTTCACTATTTTTTTAAATCAACAGAAATTTTAAGTTTAATGCTTTGTTTAATTGTTAATAAGATTTAAGTCAACGAGTCGTTCTGAAAAATGGCACACTAAAACACATCAGCATCTTATTCAAACATTTATGAATTTTCGAAATTTCTCAAATAACTTGTTTCATTGCTAGTTCACAACCTGGGGCAGAGTGAGATACATAGAGAGTAAAGCATGTTAAATTTCGGAATTATTATATAAATACAGTGCAATTACTAAGTTTTATCTTAAGAAAATATATACTTGTCGAAAAATAATGATTAATATCAAGTAGGGGTCAAAACTAATGTCGAACTGAGGTGGCTTTTACTTAATGAAAATCCATTTATCAAAATAAATAGGAACTGTTCAGATTTGCACGAAATTATATATTTTGACATTACATGTGATAAAGACACGGTGTTGTCGAAACAATTGTGATGTAAAAATATATAATTTCGTGAAAATCTGAACAGCTATATGTCGGGAAGATCTCGATGCGAGTACTGACGTCATGGCGAATGAGAGTGCGTTTAGTAAAATTATTAATTCTATTTTTGGTCATTTTTTAATAATGTCTTAATATTGTTGTGATCGTCACGTGTTATGCACCTCACCTTAGCTTGGGTAGCTGACAGTAGACCCACTCAGAGACGTCTTCGACGGAAATTTCGCGATGAGATGCCGTCAGGTCCAGCTTGTTGCCGGCGACGACGATAGGAATGTCCTCGTAATCTTTCCTCTGCTCCCGGATCTCCTCGAAACACTGCTTGACGCAGCCAAAAGATGGCGCGGAGGTTACCGCGTACACCAAGAGAAAGGCATGCGCAGTCGCGATGCAGAGGCGGCGCATTACCGGGAACTGCATGTCACCTGCAACCAAAAAAACTGCGTGTCGAAGCCGGATGGGTTCGGTTCTCCGACTCACCAGCGGTGTCTAAGATGTCAACCTTGAGAGTCATATGGCCCAAGTCGTATTCCCTGTTGTACAGGTCTTCTACGGTACTCCTGTACTTGTTGCAGTAAGTGTTGGTCAAGAATCTCTTCACTATGCAGCTTTTGCCTACTCCCGGCCCACCCAAAACGACGAGCCTGATGCGTTCGTAGTCGCTCATAGTCGACATGGTGGCTTCAAACTTTTAATATGGCTGACACGAAAATAGTACGTCCCACTCGGAGGCGGATATTTTCATTTTATTTTAACTTTTCCGGGAGTTTGGAGGCAATTTATTAAATTAAATTCACATTAAGCGACGGCTACGGGTCTATTGTTTGGGGCCGTGTTTCGAATTTGGTAGCTGAACGGCTGGGGGGGGGTTGCGGGGTGCTTTTTACGCGGACCGGCCTGCTGTTTGGTTCTGATTACGCCCTGACAGTCGAGTACCTGGAACGAAGAGATTAAATTTTAATTTCGTTTTAATTGCGTCACGGTTAATGCCGGAATAAAATGCGATGGACGCGCAACAATTTCGACGCTAACGTCGCACAAAACGGAATTTATCAAAAGAGACGCCACTCGAAGACACTAAACGATGCAATTTTTATTCTCAAACCATTGTTTGAAAAATTCAACTGAAGCGGCTAATAATAAAGACGAGACGGTATCATCAAAAAAGTATATTATTTCTATATAATATTCTTATTGGGAAGTTTTGGTTTGCTTGAAACATTTTTTTTACAAAAAGCCAATTTTTATTGTTAAGGTTAAAAAGTCTTTAAGCTTTCCAAAACCGTATAGCAAAGTGTGATTATCATTAAAAGAAGATTAATTACAGCCATTTAAAAATTACCAAATTTTGAACTTTTCAGAAATAGCTTCTAATAATTTTTTATGTACATAATTTCTCAAAATTTTTATCCTAATTAACCCTGATTAGAAAAATGAATTTAAAAAAATTGACAATTTCAAATCTGCATAAGAGAACGAATTTAAAATATTCAGAAGTATTTAAATGTCGTTATTTTCAATACTTTTCAATTAATTTTTTTAATTAGGAAATAGTCAGTATTATTATTTATTACAACTCATGATGATAATCATCAATTGCAATTTTTTATATATTAGCTTATATAAAGTATCCAACATAAAAATCAAACATATCCAGTTTAATGATTATCTTATTATTAATGATAATTAGATTACAATATAACAGTTAAGAAAAATACGCCTTTCCGGTACGCCATTAATTTAATTTATTTTTCACTACCGAGTGTTGTTTTAGTACAATTCGGGAATTTTGGTCTGTGATATCGAACTAATTGGAGTAAAAATTGTTTTCGCTCTTCGTTTATCGTTAAGCATGATTTTAGTAATAGCGTTTTATGGTTGACAGGGAATACCAGTAGGTTTCCAAACTATCATAACATCACGAATCACTTCATCAATACACTGTCGAATTGTGAGGTTTGAATCTGTATGCTTGTTGAAAAATAATTCTAAAACTTTTCTTATACTCGGTAATTTTCGTTTACATGAAAAACCAACCAAATAAATTTTCTTTTCTGCCATTTTACTGATAATAATTGAAATTACTGAGAGCTTTAAAAAATGACAATACACAATAATTTCCAAATATATGTGTTGCAGACACTGATAATTTGACAACATGAGCTGCCACCTACACTACGTACTGACAACCATTTTAAAATTCAAAATCCATAGAAATAAAACATTGATTATTAATTAGGATAAAAATTTTGAGAAATTATGTAGATAAAAAATTATTTCTGAAAAGTTCAAAATTTAGTAATTTTTAAATGGCTGTAATTAATATTCTTTTAATGATAATCATACTTTGTTATACGGTTGTGGAAAGCTTAAAGACTCAACTTTGACAATAAAATTTTTTTTTGTAAAAAATCGCGAACGTTATACGTGAATTTAAGTTTAGTGAAAAAAGGATTTGTTCCATGTTAATTAAATGAGAAGCTAAAATAAAAATCTCGACCCCTTAGAGTTGAGCTACAGGGCTCATCTTTGGTGAAGATTTTTTTTTATATCAAAAAGAAACACTTGAGAGGGCAAGAGCTAACAAAAAAATAAAAATTTTTTTGAAGCGCCGTAATAAAGCTAACTATAATAAATCTACTTAAAGAAGGAAATTATATATTGTGCATATCCCTAAGTTTCACACACGCACTTTGCGCCTGTACACTTCTTTTTCTTCAGATTTTTTTGTTTCGTTTGAAATTTCAGGAATTATTGGTTAAAAACAAGATTTAAAATGACTGCTCATATTGAATTCTCATGTACTATCAGCATTAACAGGGACTGTACGTATGTAGTCGACCATATCGGATTCTTTTCACTGAATGAAAGTTAACCCATGAGAACACGTCAAAGGACATCAGTTATCAAATGGCAACTAGACGAAAAGCAATATCTATTTACGACATCGAGTAAGACGAAACCACAATTAACCTCCGAAATTAGAGGTACACATCTCTGAAATTAATTAGTTGCTCGACGACGTTGCTAGTACGCTACCGGCAACGCCAAATATGTGCTTGACAATAGGCCAACCCAATTTCTAGGTTAGCTACAACAAATTTCCAACGAAGAAGAAACTTTAAATTAACCCGGTGGAGCCCGTTTACCGTACCGACTATTGTATGCGAGTCTGGCGCATACGGTTTTGAATTTCAAGGATTTTCTTTCAGCGTTTTAGTCGAGGAAACGAGAGAGTATTTCTAAATGAGTTTTGTTTGAAGTTGCCCGCCATTGTAGTGGACGCAATTGTTGGAGGAATTTGCTAATTTTAAGGGTATGGTAATGTATCGTTCATCATATTGTATGCAAAATATGAAGATCAATTTAAAACTCTATTAAAGGAAAAATTTTTCTATTAATATTTAATACGAATCAAGGATAACGTCTTTACAATTCTCATCCTCAAGAAACAATACTGCCCGCAGCTGAACGACGCGAACGCTAATAAAATATTTAAAGTTTTAACACTTTGACTGCCATGTGCATTTCTAAGTATACACAGTGACTTGTCTTAGGGTGCCACGTGTATATTTTGGTATACACATGTAACCACTAATATTGTGCCACGCATGTCCTACAGTAACACGCTTTACGTACTTTTCTTATGGTATATAGTGCTGACTTTTAATAATTTTAAATTTTTATACAATCATTTAATTGTTTAGCTACTATATTATTTTGAAATAAAACACGGTTGAGAGTTTGAGCATATACCTAAATATAAAAAACACATAATCGAAATAAAGAAAACACGCACACGAACACTTTGAACGGAAAACAATAAAACAATGATTCATTTTAGGTGTGTTTGTCAAAAAAGCAGTCTAAGCATAGAAACTTTTCAATGCATAATTGGTATTTAGTGGTAACTTGTTTAGTTTTACATATGGCATATTTCCGATCATGGATGTCTTTATTTCGTTGATAGCGCAAAACCAACCGGCTTTTTTTTCCAACTTGGATAAATTTGTGAAATTGTTCAGGTGGGCGATCAGGATCTGTATTTTTTTCCCCATGGACAACATTTTCAAGCATAATTTCTCCTTGAAATCAGTAATACTGTCTTTTTTTGATTCGTTTTTGTTGTATAAATAATGCGCGTTTACAAAACATGCGCCTGTAAGTAATTCAAAGGCAACCTTCTTATACCATTTTCCTATGCGTCTAAGGGATGTGCAGTAGGATGATAACTGGTCTGAGACGTCAATAAAACTTTTTGCCTTATCACAGCTTTAGGTTTCCTTTTATCTTCAATTCTTCCAGGAACTTCTACAAGATTTGCTCGATGCTTGGTAGTAAGCATAAGAACGTCACGTTTAACCGTCCATTTCAAAATAACTATGCCATTCTTCTCTCTACTTATGATTTCACCTTTTTTTAGTTTAGTGGACAAAACTTCTATGGGAATGCCTTTTCGTTTTTTACGTAGCGTTCCTACTAGGTGTGTCTTTCTATCTAAAAGCTTTTCCGCTAATTCTGCGCTGGTGTACTAGTTATCTGTATACAGGGTCGCGTCTTTCTAATTCAAAAACAAATTTTGTTACAACTGACATTCCTTCAGTTTTTTCCGCCCCACAATAAATTTTGCAGTGATATGTATAATCACTAGAAACTTTGAAAATCTTTATTTCATGTTTATGCCTTTTTCCTTTCCCATATTGCAGAAATTTCCACTAAACGGCAACATTGTTTCGTCAATGCACAAATTTTCATCCGGTACCACAACCCTTTTCAATTTTTCGTTCAACAAGTTTACTATGGGTTCAATTTTGTGAAGTCGATTTCCAGGTTGACATAAATTATTATCGGCGAAATGCCACATCCTTAGTAAAAGTTCAAATCTGTTTCGGGATATATATCCAGCTGCTCTGGACCAATATAACTCGCCCAGTTTAGGTTTTTGATCCAAATCCATCCATATCAAGATTTCCAAAAAACAGTACATTTCGTCCTCGTTAGTCTCCTTCCATTTGTTTAGACGCGAAGATGAGCGAATTGTTTTTTCAGTAATACCCTGCATAATGATCTGATCTGCGTATATATTGGTTTGTTCGACAATAATGTTTACCACCTCGTCAACCACAAAAAGTCGAAAATAAGCGAATTCATTTTCATTTTTCAAATTCATTACTTCCTGTGTCAACATCTTCTTGAAAAGTAAAATTGCGAGTATTGCCAACCACTTTTCCCCAATCGTTAATCGTAAAATTATTGCTCTCGTCGCCCGACAAATTTTCATGTCCTATTTCAAACTGAGACTCTGATGGAATCGAATCATCTGAAAATTATTTACAAAAATAGGAACATATATGTTGCCTTTATTTGTCGTGTCGTTCTCATCACCAAATAAATTTTCTGTTTCTATTTCATATCGCGGGTTTTACAAGCACTTTCTATGAATCACACGAAATCACCATACATACAACGCAAGACACTTATAAACTGCGCTGCACCACATTCAGACTGAAAGTGATGATTATTTACAAGTTCACAACGCGTCCGATAAACAAGAATAAGATTGCTTAACCGTGTATATCACGATATACATATGGCGCAAAATATATATATATTTTTTAATTCTACGCCATCGTGTATATTTTTTATACACTAGCCTTAAGGTTTTAATAACAAAAAAAACAAGCATTTAGGTTAGGAGGGTATTTTAAACACTTTCCTGTAAGAAAACGGTGTGGCTAATGTGAACCCCTCAATGATTTTGGGGCGGCAGTCAAATTGTTAATGGATAAATTTATCTACAGGAAAGGTTATTCAGAGGAGATCTCCATTACGATTCGGTGCATACCGAGACAAACAAGTTTCGCACGTCTTGGACTTTGGCAGCCAGTCTAGGTCGGGAAAACTATCGCTTCGTGGAATTAGTTTCAGTTCTTGTA